TTTCCAAATACCAAGCGAACTCAGAGAGAGAATGCTCTTTTTCTCTAGAATGCTTGTTTCTTTTGTGTGTTTTTTATGAGCTAACCCAAAGACCCCTATTTATAGTAGAGGGAAGAATCTCAAAACAAATCAATTTGAATTTCAAAATTCAAATTTGATTTTATTTTGATATTATCTCAATCTTATTTCAATCTTATCTCAATCATATCTGATAGATTTTCTACGGATTTGAATCCAATTTGAATTTTAGTAGAGGGGAGAATCTCAAAACAAATCAATTTGAATTTCAAAATTCAAATTTGATTTTATTTTGATATTATCTCAATCTTATCTCAATTATATTTGATAGATTTTCTACGGATTTGAATCCAATTTGAATTTGAATTTCAAATTCAAATAAGAATATTCTCTTAATATTCTGCAGATTTAAAGTTTCTAAAACTTTATACGGACCGGACTTCTCAAGGGCTAGGTCCGTTTTGATTCTATCAAATAAACCCAAATCCAACAGTTTCTAATACGACATTGAACAGATGATACCCAGACTCTGAATCAAACGCAAAGTAACAAGCTAAACAGTATCAGTAAAACCCACTACCGCAATCCATCATTACGAATCTTGTTACAATTTATCAGACAATCAAGGTGAACCAGAACCAAATCTCAGACCTTACATGGTACCATTTCAGACACTCCAAACATCCCACCTCTGGATATCCCATAGCTTGAACTCCAGATATCCCATCTCTTAGGTATGTTAATGGTTCTCGATCCAGTAATCTTATAAGGGATGCTTAGGGATCGCTATATAGCTCAGTGGAAGACTCATATTACAGATCTTATCAATCAAATCATATCAGAAGATAGCTACTGCACTTGATCACCCTAACCAATGAACACTGTGAAGCTTAGATAAACAAAATCAAACGCTCTGGTATTACGAAAAACGCTGCAAATTCAGCTGAATCCACACGAACAAGAAAACAGGTGACTCATCGGTTCCAATACAATCTTGAATAAGGAGCACCCAAGACACAACAGCCACAAACACAGGACTTGAACCCAAATTTCAGGACAAACATCATTCCAGAACTCAAACAAGGACGACAGAACTTCCCTTGACAAATGAATCATATTATTACACACCCAGAAAATTTCTACAAGAACAGATGCCAGAAACACAACCTGTTAATGCAATGAAAGAGCATCAAGCGAAGATTCAATATCTAGAAGATCTCAAGCAAAAAGGAAACAGGTCAATGTGAAGAAATGGAAGGAACAACCAGTAAGGGAATGACTTGCAAGAGAAAAAGAAACATGCCATTGAAGAAAAATGGAAAGATCAAGCAAAAGGAATAAAGTCCAAGAAAAAGGAAAAGAAGATATTGAGCAAAATATTGGAAACAAGAAGAGGAGCTATGCATAAATACAAGACGTGGGAGATACAGAAAGGTATCCCAGCAGAACAGAAAAAGAGAGAAAAGAGCAAAGAGCTGGAGAATCATAGGTGTGGGAAACACGGGTGAGTGATACTTGAGAGAGAGTGAAGTGCATCTGAGGGGGAGCCTTCAAAAACAGGCGAACCGCTCAAAGGGCCTAGACGAGTCTAGGGTTACACGGGGTATGCGAGGCACACATAGTGTATGGACTGATAGAATTTATGTTGTAAGGGGGAACAAACTCAGGGGGAGTTGTGTTCTTGGGATGGATTAGGCTCGAACAAAAAAGAGTTGTAATTCATGTTCTTTACAAATGAATAGAATCAGTTGGGAAATTTTTGAAAGCAATATCGTGTGAGTTTACTTTTTCAGACTATTATATGGATAACCCACATCTATATTAGTGAAACTGTTTATATATTCTAGGAACATCGAAAATGGGTTCATAATATATATATATATATATATATATATATATATATATAAGATATCTGCTGGATGAGAAGAAACAGTTGGAGAAGGAACTAAAAAATACTCAGATCCAACTGACATCTACTCAGCATCAACTGTCCCAAAAAGAAGAAGAAGTGTCGCTCATGAGATGTCAAATTGAAGAGACCAAGAAAAATCTTCATCTTCTTGGAAGTGGAACTGGTAAGTTGGATCATCTACTTGGACAGGGAAGGAGTGCTCGAGATCAATCAGGACTTGGATATATGGGAAAGGAGGAATATCACCCAACATTCGTATCCGGAGGAAATCTTGAACGAGAAGTACCTGACTGGATACGAAGTACTTTTGGCACTGTCAGAAATACTCCAAGAGTCAAAGTGGATCTACGAACCTCTCAAGAGCAAAAAGAGTGCAGAAGATGCTATTACTGTGGGAAGAGAGGACATATTCGAAGGAATTGCTATTATCTACGACAGAAAAGGAACTCTAATTGGTACGTTCATTCGAACTTGAAACACTCTTATCTGTCTCATCCTTCAAAGAATCTTAGGTGGATTCGTAAAACCGATGTGTCATGCAATGTTGCCTGTACGTCTGGGCACACGAGTGGAGACGGTGTCTGGTATTTGGACAGCGGATGTTCAAGGCATATGACAGGTTGTCAAGAGCTGTTGACAAATTGTGAAGTAGTACTCAGAAGCAGCAGTGTCACGTTTGGGGATGGAAAACAAGGAAAGATTATTGGCAAAGGTACTCTTGAGTGTGATGATTTCCTCAAATTGACAGATGTCAAAGTAGTTCAGGGATTAAAGGCTAACTTGATCAGTATAAGTCAACTATGTGATAGTGGCATGGAGGTGAAATTTACAAAGGATGCATGTTTTGTGACCAATGCGGATAACAAGTGTATTTTAACTGGGCAAAGGACATCAAGCAATTGCTACACATGGGTTGACAACCAGATTTTCAGAAACTCTCTCAAGGATCCTAAGACACGCGCCCGGAATTGAGCAATCAAAAGCTCAGGTATGGTTTTGAATTTATGCTTATACACAGGGGGAGAAAAGGCTCGAAAGGTATATGATCATACACATAGGGGGAGAGATGATACAAGAGGAGAATGATCAGAAAGGTATATGGTTGAAGATGGTGAGTGAATATGCATGGTTGAAATCGTTGATGGTGATATCAAGGAGCCAAGTGGATGAATGTGTATTCAAGCATAAGTGTGTAATAAGCATAAAGTCAAAAAGGGGGAGAATGTTAATGCAATGAAAGAGCATCAAGCGAAGATTCAATATCTAGAAGATCTCAAGCAAAAAGGAAACAGGTCAATGTGAAGAAATGGAAGGAACAACCAGTAAGGGAATGACTTGCAAGAGAAAAAGAAACATGCCATTGAAGAAAAATGGAAAGATCAAGCAAAAGGAATAAAGTCCAAGAAAAAGGAAAAGAAGATATTGAGCAAAATATTGGAAACAAGAAGAGGAGCTATGCATAAATACAAGACGTGGGAGATACAGAAAGGTATCCCAGCAGAACAGAAAAAGAGAGAAAAGAGCAAAGAGCTGGAGAATCATAGGTGTGGGAAACACGGGTGAGTGATACTTGAGAGAGAGTGAAGTGCATCTGAGGGGGAGCCTTCAAAAACAGACGAACCGCTCAAAGGGCCTAGACGAGTCTAGGGTTACACGGGGTGTGCGAGACACACATAGTGTATGGGCTGATAGAATTCATGTTGTAAGGGGGGACAAACTCAGGGGGAGTTGTGTTCTTGGGATGGATTAGGCTCGAACAAAAAAGAGTTGTAATTCATGTTCTTTACAAATGAATAGAATCAGTTGGGAAATTTTTGAAAGCAATATCGTGTGAGTTTACTTTTTCACAACCGATAGGAGAAACAAAAAAGGCATTGCGCATGGTGAAACTGAGAAATGGGAGTTCATGGATCATCGGCATAAGCGACACCACGTAGAATGTTTTTTTTTACCAGAAATGGCTACTTCAGATTTCAGAATCAGGTCTCCACGGGACTGCAAATGTCAGCGCGAAGAATGATCAAAACCCTTTTAGGCTGTGCTTGTTAAGTTATTATAGTGTGAGTGCGAGGTGGAATGGGAATCCATTCATCAAGTGGGCTACGGCCAGATCTCCTTACTAAAATTAAATCCTATAACTAAAACTTTATAATAAAAAATAATAAATTGTAATAATTAACAAATAATACAATAAACGAACGTTACCTCTTACTGATATGAAAATACAAATCACATAGATATTTTTTATTTGACAACAAAAACCCAAAAATCTCTACAAATGAAATATAAAGGTTTGTAAGAAAAACAAAATTAAACCTCGAAACCTTAATGTAAAATCTCATGTAAATACATGATTTTATTTTATTATTTTCCCGTTTCCAATTAAACTCATAAATTTTATAAAGACTCCAAAAACTAGTGCAATTTTTCAAATTCTTTTTAAAATTTATAATTTTAATTTAGAGTCTTGAAAAATGTGTGTGTGTTTTTAAATCCTAAAATTCGTATATTAAACTAGAAGTTTATATGTTTGAAATTTTTTCTTATAAACATAAAGTTCAAGTATTTCCTACGCTGGATTTTGAATTTATTTGAATTTTTAAAAAAATTTAGATATTTATATAAAATTTTTAAAAATTTTAAATATTTATATAAAAATTTTATAATTCCTGCAATTTTTGTAAAAGTTTAGATATTTGTATACTAGTTTTTCTTGATTTTATAGAACTTCATAGGTTTTTGATCAAATTATACAAAATTAAAAATAGAATTAAAAGTTAGACTGGTTATAAAACTAAATTCATTTCATTCGTTTTTTTAAATAAATATGTAAATTCTATCGTCTCTCCGTAAAAAAATTTATCATTAAGTTGTTCTTATTCATATAAATATATATAAATTTAAAATACTCAAAAGTCATGCCATGTCATTAAATTGCCCCTTATCAAGATATACAAAAAAAATCCAAGAGAGTTGCTGACGTGGCGGAACGTTCAACTTCGCCACCAATGACCAAATTACTAAATTAAATTTAAAAAAAAAAGGAAAAAAAAGTAATGTGTGGAGGAGAGAGAGAGGCTTAGGCCACACAGGTTCCTGAATATCTATGAATCACATTCTTCCACATCTCTCTTCTCCCTCTTCCTGAAGCTTGAGGAGAGAGCAGAAGACAACAATGGTGGAAGATGAACGATGAAGAAGGAGCAGAGCTGTTGTTATTGTTGTGGCATTGAGGTTTTTGTTATGTTATGTTACTTCCATGGCCTGTTACATAGTTCCTTATTACTGCAACGCCGTTTTGCTTCATCCGCATAGAAGAGCTCTTCGCCATAGCCACTGCTTCAACACCAAACAGTTATTCAAGAGACGAATCTTGATTCCTCGAAACTCCGCCATTAGCGACGGTGGCGTCTCTTACAACACCCTCGTCTCCGAGGTTAGTGAGCTTTTTTTCTCCCCTCGTTCGCAGAAGCAAATCTTCCATCTTTCAATAGCTTAGGGAATGAGTAGGTGGATCTTGAATCTGTGGATGTTTGAATGTCAGCTGTCTTATAGCGACATTGATAAGATTCGGACATTCTGCCTCGCAATCTGTTCTTTTTTTTTTCCCTTCTGATAGGAGTTTCGATTCTGGGATATGCATAGATGAGGAAATGTTTGATCTTTATGAAGTTTTGAGTCTTGTTTGGTAATAATTTTGCCCCCATAGAACCTGAACACTCACGTATCTCTGATCCATCGGTTCCGACTAGAATTACATTTCCAAGCTTCATATTCAAACCCTATATGTTCCTGATTTTCGACTCTCGGGTTTCACTACACTCGAAGCAAATGGATGAGAGAAGGAAATTTCTTCTAATGTATCTGTTCTTATCTCCTTGCCTTCTTATATAGCTGCTTCAGTGAAAGCAGGGATCTTTGTATATGCAAGCATTGTAGCGTTAAATCGAATGCGTATATGCATCTTCTTTCGAGAATATTGACGTTGTGGATACAAACTATAGGTTGTACGGCTGTTGGTTCCACCGGCAAATTTTGAAGCCTCGAAGCTGAAAGTGGTTTTCTCGGGGGAGGAACTGGAGAAAACCACGAGGGTTATCTTACCACGGACGTATATTCTTTCCCATTGCGATTTCACAGCTAACTTAACCTTAACCGTGGCCAAAGTGATCAATCTGGATCAACTAGAAGGTTGGTACAAGAAAGACGATGTGGTTGCCGAGTGGAAGAAGGTGAATGACGAGCTGAGATTACATGTCCACTGCTGTGTCAGCGGCCCGAGTTTTTTGCAGGATGTAGCTGCTGAGCTTCGGTATCACATATTCTCCAAAGAACTTCCATTGGTATGTTTTTTTCCTGTTCCTTTATTTTCTATAGGTTTCTCAGAAAATGGGTGATGAGTTGGTTTGAATATTTATGTTATTCGGGTTGACAGGTACTAAAAGCCGTTTTGCATGGAGATTCGGGTCTGTTCAGAGATAATCCCGAGCTTATGGATGCTTATGTTTTGGTTTACTTCCATTCTACCTCCCCTGAGTACAACCGGATTGAGTGTTGGGGACCTCTCAAGGATGCTGCAAAGGTAGAATCTGTGACAGTGTAACCATTGTCCTGAAATTTCGTTGCATCGTCTTGTCCTGTCGTAATAGAAATCTGAAATCTCGGGTTTCTGGAATGTGGATTGTAGGGAAACCAGAAGGGCATGCTTCAAGGCTTCTTGACTTCGAACCCTCGGAAGAAATGGACGAGACCAAAGTCGATCTTCCACGCCTTGTTTACCTTTCTTCTTTGAAGAACTGCGGCTGCACACGAGATATGTACATTCTCTTTTTCTTGGTGTCCCGTTTATTCGATTCGTGCAATTGATATATACCTTTCTTGATGAGTATCCGATACACTTTGTCATCTGCACAATGATCAATTGTTCATAATTGAGAATTCTTTTTCAGCGCCACGCTCTTTCCGTGAAATTCTGTTTATTATTGAGGTTCTTTTAGATATCGTCTCTCAGTTAAGATGTCATTACATTTATGAACCTTTATACAAGCAAGTTAAGCTAATCAGGCATGAATAGGTTTCTTCATATTGTCCATACTTCATCACTTTTTGTACTATTGAACATAAAACTGATGTGATCTGTCCTTCTGCCGAATACATTCTTTGAATCCCTTAGACCTTCGAGTTCTACTGCCACTTCCTTCATCGTCGGCCTTTCCTCTCCCCTGATTCTCAAGCACCTCATCGCCAAGTGAGCCACTCTACTGAACTGCTCTACCTTTCCATTGCCCGAAATTCTCTGGTCAAGAATGTCAGCCAAGTGATTTTTGCCGATTGCAAAATCGAATCTCGTGACGAGGTGTCTTTCTGATTCCAGTCTGCTGAAAGAAAGCGCCTTTTCTCCGCTGAGTAACTCGAGCAGGACGACTCCGAAGCTGTAAACATCACTCTTTTCAGTCAAGTGGCTTGTCTGGAAGTACTCGGGATCTAGGTACCCGAGAGTTCCTCGCACGAGTGTGGTTAACTGTTCTTTATCCATCGGGATTAACCTAGAACATCCAAAGTCGGATATTTTGGCTGTGTAGTTTTTGTCTAGAAGAATGTTGGCACACTTGATGTCCCGATGAATGATCGGAACTAGAGCTGCAGAGTGCAAATACGAAAGGGCTGATGCAATCTCGGTAGCGATCTTGAGGCGGGTTTTCCACGAAATGACAAATGGACGGCTGCTACGGTCGTGAATATGGTCGGCAAGATTCCCGTTGGTTATAAACTCGTAAACCAACAGCGGTACTTCTGTCTCTAGACAACATCCTAAGAGCTTAACCACATTTCTATGGTTGATCTGTGAAAGAACAAGCAGCTCATTGATGAACTCTTCCACTTGGCTGCAGTCTCCAATCTTGGCTTTCTTTATAGCCACTATCTGGTTATCAGGTAATACTCCTTTGTAAACTGTCCCTTGTCCACCTTGTCCAATGATTCTGCTCTCATGGTAATCTTCTGTAGCTATCTTGAGTTCCTCTGCAGAGAAAACTCGGGTCTGGGAGCTGGAACGGTTCTGCCTCGAGAGTTGCATCTGTAACAAGAACCCGCCATTTCTTTCAAAGAACTTCTCTCTCATCTTGAAGATCTTCCTCCTTTGAAGTGTCCAATACACCGAGGAAAAACCCAGAAGCAACACCAAGATTCCAACTATGGTTCCTGCCCCGGAAACAACATCAAGATTCGAAGCTTAGTGCCATTATGCGTTGGTCAGTTCTAGGAGTTGATTTAAAAGCTTACCCACTAGAATCTTGGTCAGGAGGTTCATGACCTGAGGATTAGCAACACAACCAGTTCCATCTTTCCTGCCATCACCCCGATGACCCTTGGGACAAATGCAAACGTAAGTTCCTTCTCGGTTCTTACAGTTTTCTTGTCTGATGCAATCATTTAAGCTAGGATCCTCACACTCGTTGATATCTGGAGGATAGCCGGAGATTTCGATTAGATACTTCCATAGAGGGGAATGAAATCAAAGGGCCGAGACTGATCAAAAAAAGATTGTATCGTACCTTGGCAGCCATTTCTTAGGTAGGGATTACCTCGGTAACCATCACTGCAGTTGCAGACGTAGCCAGGTCCATTGTCTGAATCCGAGCAAACACTTTGTTCACTTTTACAAGCGTAGGAATCCAGATCTTTAGCTTCTACTCGGCATCTTCCCTTGCCTACCCACCAGTCAAGCACTACTGGATACTCTTTCTTCGTCCAGGAAGACGAAATATCCGACTCCTGAAAGCTATACTCACCATTCTCGACCAGAAACCCGTAGGTGCACGAGCTGTAAGCCTTAGGCTGACATATATTAGTCGCTGATATCCGTAACCCTCTCGCGAATCTCGGCATGTAGCTCTGACAACAGTGATCAGAGCCATTGCACGAACCTTCAATCATCTTGTTAGCTTCTGTCGAACATGTGATCTGGTTTCCGATGTTTCCGTTATCACGCAGAGAAGCTGTTCCACACCCGACACCAGTGAGCATGTTTCTGATGTCCGATGTAGCAAACTGAGAAAACGAGTACGAGATTACCGAACCCTCTTCGGTTTCGCTGCCGTTGCAGTTTCGGGACACGTTTAAGGCCACTCGTAGGTACCCATCAAGTGATATGCTGATAACGGGGACCCTGGTTTCTTGGAGCAGAAGCAAGTTGTTCGGTTTCTGACACTCTACAGCATATGCGGTTTCGAGGTAACATCCTCGGCCTATCCCGAACGGGTAAGGGACGATGATGTTTCCGCATTTATATTCGCAATCGGGTAAGGCTACGTTGATTGTTGAAGATCCTAGCATAGGAAGTAGGAACAAGAACTGCAGAAGAACTTGAAGCAGAAGCAAACCCATATATGGCTTCTTCTGTGTGTGTGCCTTTTTTTTGGTGGATGTGAAGATGGCGTAAACAGAGAGCTTTTAAAAGCAAAAGAGATGAAAAAAGAAAACGTTTACTTTTGGTTCGGACGACCTGAAGTTTCTATGGAAGTTTCAAACTTCCTTCCGACATTATCGTCAAAGTTTTTTATGCTGTGAAGTTTCAAGCGATGAAATTTCTTCTTGTAGGGTAATCACATCAAAAGGACCGTCGTGTCTTAAATTGATTTTCTTCCACGGTATGTGATAAACAGAAAAAAGCGAACCGTGATGAAGTTGTTGACGCAATTAGTAGTATATGAGATATGGAAGGAGAGAAACGGCCGTGTTCACAAAGATCAGTGGATATTGCTGAACCAAATGCAGTTCAAGGTCGATCGGCTCATGAGAAACGTCCTCATATCCTTGCAAAAACCGGAAGAATCAAGCATGAATGAAGTTCTGCAACTATGGTATCGCATTAGCTAGTTCTTGATGACTATATTTTTGGCCCGTACCCATGGGAATCCCTACAACTTTTGAAATTCTGATTTTGTAAATGTAATTTGCCTGATATTAATATATCAAATCACCGCTATACCAAAAAAAAAATAAACAGAAAAAAGCAATGTGAGAACAATAAATGGGCTATTGACTAATTATTTTCTGGGCAATAGCTGTCTTAATCCGAAATTAAAAAATCTGGTTCCGGTGGCGGCGCTTTGAATGTGTTTGATGATATTCCGGACAAGAAGACCGTACTAGGTTTGCTGGACAATGGCGATGTCGATCATGTCCTAAATGTGTTCGTGAAATGCCTGAACAAGATGTTGTCACCTGGAAAGTGATGATCAAGGGAGCTTGTCCGTGAGATGAGGATTTTGTTCACATCCTTACTTCTCTTGTTCATTGTAACATGATCGAATCAGTGGAATTCATTGATAGATATGTCTCTCGTCTCGTCGATCTTGTGTTGCTCGGATTTGGCTAGTGAAGTCTCAAACCCTCCCAAGTTTCAATCTTCAAACATTGAAAAATCTTCTTCACCAAAGATGACTCCCGAGTCGGATACTCGCAGATTCTGGGGTTATCAGATTCTGAACCCGAGATCTGATCCATGATTTTCTGCTTATTCAACTCCAAATCCGAGACCCTCGGGTTTTGGGATTTGAAATCCATTTGCCGGACTCTCTATTTGGATACCCGCAAGAAAAAATGTTTTAAATGTTCGGATACCCACGGATTATACCGTTGATGAGGGCGAAAGAGGTCGAAGGACTCGAGGAAGGCGACGCACAACAAGGAAAGAGGAATGCTAAACGAGCCGGGAAGTGGACAAAGAGACACACCCGGAAGAGGACGGGAGGCGACCAAACCAAACCCAATTCTAAATGAATCGATGATATGTACTCACGGATACGAACGAGTTCTCATCGTCCGCTACCCGAATCCGAATTCGGAATCAAAATCAGTCCATTTCATAAGTGAAGGGTAGGGGTGAATAATTCGGTTCATAACTGAATAACCGAACCGAACCGAACCAAAACGAATAACAGCGGTTCGGTTCGTTCGATTATTTGCTTAATAACCGATCGGTTGAGGAAGTTCTATAACCGTTCGAATTCGATTCGGTTCGGTTAATAACCGAATAACCGCGGTTAACCGATCGATCGGTTATTAGAGTTTTTTTAATGTTTTATCCTTTACCTAGGTTAATTGTTTTACAGCTCACTTTTGGTCTTTTACCATCTCTCTCTCTCACGCTCACGCGACCGTCCTCGACTCAAGTTCCGTCTCTCGTGCTGCGGTGAGACTCTCGCCGTCGGCGTCGAGGCTCTGAGTCGTCGTCCCCTCTCATCTCACTCTTGCCTCTCGTCTCTCCGTCTCCTCTCTCGTCGTTCCGGATCCGTGGATTGCCGTTGCTGAACGTCGAGCCTCTCTCCGTCGCCTCCTTCCTTCTCCGTCTCCTCTCGTCTGTCGCATCCTTTCTTCTCCAGACCGTCGCCATCTTCCCTCCGTCGTCGGTGGTCTCATTAAAGAAAACTATGGTGTTTGTGATGATAATAAAAAAAGTATGAACAAACTCCATTGAATTGATTAATTTACAAAAACTATACAAAGATTTAAATAGAACAACATCCTAACGTGAATTAAGACAAGAAGAAGGAAATAAATCAATTTCTAATATATGCTAAGAAATAGAAAAGGAAAATTAAATATGTGCATAAACCCAAAAAGGAAAGTAAATGACGTCTAATACTAAGGGGAGATTTTTGACTAATTTAGTTCCTTACATTATGGATCTCAATCTTCTTCAATGGCTACAAGATCATCAAAGAATCAATCTCCTTAATCTTTATTTTCTTTAATATTTTCTCTCAAGATTAGATAGGAGAGAATTCGACAATCTAATCTTGAAGACTAAATGTTTTGATTCCTCCTCAAATGTGTTATCTCCTTCCATGGCGGTTCTTTAGATTTTTGAATCCTAACAAATGCTCGTTTTGGTATTATTTTCTGCATACACTTAAAAAGATGATAAGAAAACACAAGGAAGGCCTTAACACTCCGATTTGAAGTAAATATAGATTTGATTTCCTTTTGATAATTTTTGAATTTATGCTTATTTCTCATGTCATCATAAAATAATAATAATAATGATCTAACAAATTCATGAATTTTATTTCGTAAGGATGTTTGCATGTATTGTGTTTCATTCATTTCATTCGTATAAAAAATTATTTCACGCATACTAAGAAATCTACCTGGATGATGATCATTATGTATAAAGTGTTCCGCATCGAAAATAAAATCATAATCATCCTTACCAAACCTAGAGTGTTTATTACCCATAGGTAATACCAAATCCGACTTTGTACTCATTCTTTGACTTTGGAGCTCCTCTTGAACAAGTTCCTCTTGATGTCTTATTTTTATTTTTATCTCATGATGTGACTGTCCAAACACACTTAGAGAATAAAAAACGTTATATGTGTAATGGAAATATATTTGAATGGGACAAAAAATATAGAGCAAACCCGATTTTCAAACCATATAAAAGTCACTCTCGGATTGATTTGAGGACTTTGATAAGGTAGTATTATGCACATCATTATTGATGCCTTCTTTTCAGGGTCTATTGCCTCCATCTCAAGGTCATTCAACTCCTTGGTCGTTACATCTACCTCATCCTCATCCTTTTTTATTTTATCCGAATTTGAAACTTTATTTGTGGATGTTCCTTCTAGTTTTTCTTCTATGATCTGATTTTCCTTATTCAAGCGTATTAAAACGTTCATAAAATTCTCCTTCTTCATCGGGTTCTCCTTCGGGGTTCCAACCTCCGAAATCAAACAAAAAATCTATACTCTCTCTCTTCCTTACATAGACTTCCATATCAAAGCCATAGGAGGACATTTTGTGGTATTTTAACCTGGATTTTGCAGCAAAAACAAATAGAAAAAAAATTTCATTCACAAACACTTTAGCCTCGAACCGAGCTTTGATACCATAAATTAAACTATGGTGTTTGTGATGATAATAAAAAAAATATGAAGAAGAAAACTCCATTGAATTGATTAATTTACAAAAACTATACAAAGATTTAAATAAAACGACATCCTAACGTGCACTAAGACAAGAAGGAAAATAAATCAATTTATAATATATGCTAAGAAATAGAAAAGGAAAATTAAATATGTGCATAAACTCAAAAAGGAAAGTAAATGACGTCTAATACTAAGGGGAGATTTTTGACTAATTTAGCTCCTTGCATTATGGATCTCAATCTTCTTCAACGGCTACAAGATCACCAAATAATCAATCTCCTTAATCTTTATTTTCTTTAACACTCATCTCTCTCAGTCTCTGTCATGGCTTCTCTGTCTCCTTACGTTCGTTGTCTCTCGTCTCTCTGTTCCTAAGTCTTGTTTGTTGGGAATTCATGAGATTTCATAACATATTAAAGTATGCACAATACGTAATGAATCAAACATTCATCCATAAAATCATAGAAAGTGTCAATACATCAAATGTATCAAAAGAAAGCAAATACAATAGTTCATTATAGAGCACTAAACCAACAATCTCCCACTTGCTCTAATCATGGACTGCTAAACATCTAATGCCCATATCCCTAACATGACCCTCATGCTTCGACGAAGGGAGAGGTTTCGTCAACGAATCGACAATGTTGTCATCTGTCGACACTCTACAAATGTGCACGTCTCCTCTATCTATGATCTCCCTGATAAGGTAAAATCGTCTGAGTATGTGTTTGGATCGTTGATGGGACCTAGGTTCTTTCGCTTGTGCGATTGCTCCATTGTTGTCACAATACAGAGCAATGGGGCTATCTGCACTAGGAATGACACCTAAGTCTCCAACAAATTTTCGGATCCAAACAGCTTCCTTTGACGCGTTCGACACTGCAATATACTCAGTTTCTGTAGTAGAATCTGCAATGGTCGCTTGCTTAGAACTCTTCCAGCTAACAGCGCCTCCGTTCAAGCAGAAAACATAGCCAGACTGCGATCTGTAGTCATCCGGGTCTGATTGGAAACTAGCATCGGTGTAACCCCTTATAGCGAGCTCGTCTTCCGACCCACCGTACACCAAGAACACATCCTTAGTCCTTCTCAAGTACTTCAGAATGTTTTTTACGGCGATCCAGTGTGACTCACCTGGATCTGATTGGTATCTACTCGTAATGCTCAACGCATAGGATACATCCGGTCGAGTACAAAGCATGGCATACATGATGGATCCAATTTCCGAAGCATATGGAATCCAATCCATGTGTTCTCGCTCATCAGGTGTCGTAGGACACTGACTCTTGTAGAGAACTGTGTCACTGCTCATTGGTAAGGTTACTTTCTTGGAATCTTGCATCATGAACCGTTTCAAGACCTTATCGATGTAAGTACTCTGACTCAATCCTAGAAGCCGCCTCGATCTATCTCTATAGATCTTTATACCTAAAATATAGGCCACTTCTCCTAGGTCCTTCATAGAAAACTGCGTTCCTAGCCAAGACTTTACGTCTTGCAAGGTAGGAACGTCATTCCATATTAGGAAAATGTCATCCACGTCCAACACTAGAAATACTACTGTGCTCCCACTGACCTTCTTGTAAACACATGGCTCTTCCTCGTTCTGTGAGAAACCAAACCTTTTGATTGTCTCATTAAAGCGAAGGTTTCAGCTCCTCGAAGCCTGCTTCAGTCTATAAATGGATCTCTGAAGCTTGCACACCTTCCTCGAGTTTCTTGGATCGACAAAACCTTCGGATTGTGTCATGTACACATCCTCGGTCAAGTTCCCATTAAGGAACGCAGTCTTGACATCCGTTTGTCATATCTCATAGTCGTAATATGCGGCTATGACAAGCAGGATCCTGATGGACTTCAACATAACTACAGGCGAAAAGATCTCATCATAGTCAATACCATGAATTTGACGGAATCCTTTCGCCACAAGTCGTGCCTTATACGTGTGCACGTTGCCATCCGTGTCAGTCTTCTTCTTGAAGATCCACTTGCATCCGATGAGTTTTATCCCTTCAGATGCATCAACCAGACTCCACACTTGGTTGTCTGACATGGATTGCATCTCGGACTTCATAGCCTCGCGCCATTTCTCGGAGTCGGGACTCGCCATAGCCTCTGGATATGTGGTAGGCTCATCATGTTCTAATAAATGAGCTCCTCATTCCCAGTCACGAGAAATCCGTATCTCACAAGCTCTTGGCGAATCCTGCTTGATCTCCGAGGTTCACTAGTCGAAGGTTGAGTCACAACCGGCACTGAAACAGGTTGAACGTCTTCAACTTGTTCACTCGGTTCAGCGTCTACTTGTTGCTGTC